TCCAACTTTTTAACGGAGAGAGAAAAGCCGATATCAATCACCCAACCCCATCCAGACTCGCATACCAATATAATCTGCACTTACAATTGTCCAGTACACATCGTTTTTCACATCCTCCAGCTGGATGAGCACGTACAGAGATGAAAGTGATAAAATGGTTATAAAATATCACATCGCCTACAATTTTACGTTAATTTACAATACTTTGAGAGAAAATCCTCTCGCTTTCCTGATTGTGTCTTGTTTGGCATGTTGCAAGTTTCGCACATGCCGGTTTACAGACTTATGATCTTCCTTATCACTGAGGTCAATGCTAGAGCGCTGGTTTCAAATATTTCATGGAGAGAAACTTGGGAGATCTGTGGGTACACTTTCAACAAGTTCCTCATTCGAGTAGACTACCTATCGTGTGTTCTAGGTCCAAATTTATACATCCAATCGCATAAATCTACCAGAATCTTTGGAAGGGGTGTAATATCTCCCGGTGTATAATTTTAAAACTATAGTCTCCCGTAGAGATCCATGGGACTTTCGATTTTTTTCTCTCAACGATTTTCCATCGGCTTCGCCTCGAAAAAAAAAACGGGGCCAATAATGCTTCACCTCAAGCGGCTATAGACCTATTTACTCAAACAGCGCACATTAAGTTTGATTACCCCCCCCCTTACTTGCGCAAGCAACTGGGTTCCATTTGACACCCGCGAGACTCCTCACGCTATCCTCGCGTCTGACCAAGTAACCGACCCACTGAGCTGGGTACTTACGTGAAATAGAGCCTAAAAGTTGACCCCTGATGGCACGCTTCCGGAACCCTTTGATAGGAAAAATAATAATTTTTACAATTTGTAATACTTATTTCCAAGTAGCTTCTTAAAAAATCAAAGTCGGAAAAAGGCCCTTGGAAAATATTTTCTAGCATATCAATTTATAGAAACTGAAAAATTACCTGTCATAAAAGAGAAATGTCCTGCAAAATTTGACCAATCATTTCCAAAAATCTAAAATACATAAAGGAAAGGAAACAAGGGTAAAATTCTAACATGAGGGTTTCATGGGGTGGTTTTAGTTAAGAATCATTCTTCCAAAAGTTATCGAACGTGATAGGACAGCCCCATGTAAAATCCCATGGGTGGACCGCGTGAGGGTTCCGGAAGCGCAATGGGTGACCTTTTACTTTTAGACCACGAGTCGGCCATATTGAAACTGAAAGCGAGATTAACTCTTCACTTTTCCAGGCAGCAGCAAGAGAGTTTCAATGAAACAATAAAATGAAACTTCCCGTCAAATAAGTGCCAAGTCTACTCTGATGAATAATTTCATAATTTGCGCTAGAGCATACTCTAATGTTTCATAAATACCAGATTTTGAAGTTGAAGGGAAGCTTGGATCCCACATGAATCCCAAAATAGTCTGATACCATCCAATTAAACAGGTAACAGTTTATAAAGCAGATTCAAAAAACAATATTAATTATGGCTTTCTCGGGAATACAGAGCCACGGGAGTAAACCCCGGGGGAGGGGGTATAACCCCCACTTTGTGAGGCGGGTGGATTTCTTTTCACTTTGTCTTCTGAAAACCCACGAAAATCATTATTACTATACCTGTCTGGTGCAAAAAAAAGGAATTTTACACTGCACTAAAAAAAACCTCGCTTCCTCCCCGAGCGCACGAGGTCAAGGGAAATATAGGGCTCCCTTCCAATTTTGTACTTCAGGGTACTAGGCCTATGCACCACTTGTACATGTACTTGTAGACGCCTACTTCAGAATGTCATACGTCGAATGTCGGACTTGAAATGTTTTAAAAAGGGATGGCGGGCGCTTCACACGGACACTCCCTTGATTATTATTATTACTTGTATCACTTATATTTATCCAGGGTGGCTTATTCACCAAAAGTGGTCCTCCATAAGGCCCTGTCATCAATTAAAAAGGAAATAATAACAAAATTATACTTAAGATATTAAAATATAAGAAAACATTTAAGGAAGAAAAATAAAGTACATGTAATACATTTCTGAAAGTGTATAAAACAGAAAATATATAAAACGGAAAATAAAACTGAAGGCCTAATAAAAAAATCTATACCTTAAACCAGCAACTAAAACAGAAGACAACTGATCACAGAAGGACAACTGATCACAGAAGGACAACTGATCACAAAAGACAGAATAAAATATATATACAAAAAACATGCTTAAAAAAATTAAACAAAAGTAAAAAAAAATAGAATATGCATAACACAAACAAGATAAAAACTACACGATGAACACTTTCAGGGATACTTTAAAACTAGAAAGAGAATTTGACGATCTAACTGACTGATCTAGCTTGTTCCAATTGTAAATTCCTGTGACAAACAAGCTATTCCTCAAACATTCAGTTTTACATCTTGGTGCAACAAGTGAATTCATAGCATGTCTGGTGGCGTTGTGGTGAACCTGTTTAGCTTGGGTAAAGTCAGGAGTCAAATAGGCCGGAGCCAAATTGTGCAAACATTTGTACATTAGTACAGCCCGATTATATTGAAAGCGTTTGCTCAAAGGCATCCGTTTTAACTCACAAAAGGGTCAGCGGACGAAGAATCATAATTCTTGTTTAAGATTATTCTTTCTGCACGCTTTGGAAGCTTTTCAAGTCAGACGAAATCTACACGACCATACATGTGAACAATAATCAAAATGGGGCTGAATAAACGAGTTATAGAGTAGGGTCAAGCATTCAGAGGGAACATATGGTTTGCCCTGCGAAGCATGCCTAATCTAGATTGCACAGTTTTAGTAATTTTATCCACCTGTTGGGTCCAATGTAGTTCCTTATCAATTAAAATCCCAAGACATTTAGCAACGTTAACCTGAACATGCTTTACAGCAATACCATTGATGATTACTTTAAAATTCTCAGTGTTCTTTAGCTTAGCCCTTGTCCCAATAATCATAACATTAGTTTTATCTAAATCAAGAACAAGTCTGTTGGGGTTTATCCAATTCATCACACGGCACATAGGCCCTACCGTTGGTCAATTTTTCCTTTGTTTCACCAACATGCGTTCCCTTAACCGTAAGCGTAGATCATCGGCATACATGTCAATAATTCCATCACTCACAGAATTAGGCAAGCTATTTACATGGCTAGAAAACAATAATGGGCCCAATATAGATCCCTGAGGGACTCGTGTTCTAACAACTAAAGTATTTGAGGTTGTATCTTTGAAACAAACACTTTGGGTGCGTTCATCAAGATAAGATCGAAACCACTATAGAGATGCTTCGGAACAACCTCACGAGTCAAGCTTAATGAGTAACAGATCAAAGTTAGCCCTATCAAAGGCTTTTCTGAGATCAATAAATGCAACACCTGTTAGTTTCCCTTCATCAATATCCTTAGACCAATTATTGACAAGTTTAGCCAGAGCAGTGTTGGTCGAGTGAAGTGGCCTAAAACCAGACTGATTGTCATATAAGAGATTGTTGTCACTAATAAACTGGAAAATTGATTGTACACTGCTCGCTCTAACATTTTACTTCATACTGGGAACACTGAAATCGGTCTGTAATTATTTAGACATGATTTATCACCAGCTTTATAAAGCGGGAGAACCTTGGCACTTTTGCATGCATTTGGAACAAGACCTGTGCAAAGGGAAATTAAGAATGTAGGTGAGAGATTTAACCACAATAGGGCAAGCTAATTTAAGGAGCCGACAGCTTATGTTATCGATGCCCGTTGCTTTCTTGACATCCATTTTAGATATTTCATCAATGACAAAATTATCAGATACTGGCTCAAGGTGAAAGGTCACCCCCGGTTCAATATCTGGCGTTACCTCATTTGTACTACCTGTATTTAACTCACAGGCTGGTACATTAGCAGTAATCCTGGCAACCGAAGAGACAAAGTGGTTATTAAATGCAGTAGCAATAGCCAAAGGTGACGTACAGTCTTCGTTATTAACCTTTACGGTGTTAGGCGTAACAGTATCTGAGCTTGGGGCGATTTCCTTCAAGTATTTCCAGATAACTTTACTATTCTGCGCATTCTCAGGAAGAATACCACGATAGTAATCAATTTTACATTTTTTCAACACGTGGGTAACCTGATTACGTAGAACCTTATAATCATCCCATGTTTGCGAATCGTTTTACCTCAAAGCTACCTTATGGATACGATCTCTATCATTCCTCAGTTGAATTACCTCATCAGTAATCCAGGGACAAGCATTCTAGACTTACGGATTCTTTTGGTGCGAATAGGTAGATGGTGATTAACAATGGACATGAACAGAGTAACCCAGGTATCAATAGCAACATCAATATCACCAATATAAATAAGATCATCCCAAGGAACACACCTCATTGATTGATGATTGATTGCATTGATTGTTCGTCAAAAGAACCATTATTGTTATCCTCCTGCTGACGTTTCGGCACCGACGTCGTAGACCAAGAATGGCAGATGGTACCCTACCGTAGCGCTTCGAACGACGAACCCTTTCAAGTTTTTATTTCCAAAATTCCTCTCACATCAGGAGGTACACTGTACTTGCCAAAACGATTTTAGATTTTCCGAAGATAAAAGTGCAGAAGCTCACAGGAAATGACGTTGAAATGTGTATTTCTGTACATTTTCAAGGAACCACCCACTCAGCTTGTTCCCTCCACTTGTCTTTTATGCGCACGAGAAAATATCATTGTGCTACCACAAATCTTTACTCGACCATCAATATTAAGTTTCAATTACAACACACTTTGTTTACGTGTGTTTTCCAAAGGTACCAAATGGACTGTGGGCCCGTAATAGAACCACATGCAAGTTTGTCTGAGACTTTGCCCCAAAAAACAAGCTTCCTTGTGAATTTTTCCGCCAACTGTCGGATAAACAGGGAGTATATAGTGTTATATTTATATCAATGGGCAAAACCCGTTATTAAAAATTAGCATCTCCCCGACACAGAGTACACCTTGTGAAAATGAAAATGCGCTGTCTACTTCCCTCAATCTCCTTTCTTAGTAAACCACTTTATTGACAAATCAAGTATGAAAACATATAAACATGAACAGCGTTTTCAAAATACAAGAAAAATACTTGCAAAATTCAAATTCAATTACTGCATATATATATGTTAATTGTGAAAAATTAAGAAATATCAGTTGCATTATAAAAGCAGTATGAACTAAAACACCAATGTTCCAATGTTCCAAATGCTTATCGCATTCCTACGGTGTGACATAATGATAAACTCTCGTACACTTTTACCACATTGACAGAAAGTAAAATTCAGAAAATTCATGTTTAAGAGTAATCTGACATCTGGAGTTGAGAAATAGTTTGCAGTTATTACGTCCTTTGGCAAAAAAAATTATTATTCCACTAATTTACTTTTAAACAAAAGCACCCTCCATCTCATACCCTTATCAAAACAAATTGCTGTAAATGACGACATAAAAAACACACTTTTATCTCAAAGCCCAACAAATCAAAAAGGCATCAGCCGAATTATGTACTGAAGTGTTGACCCGGTCTGCTCCGATGAGCAACGGGAAAATCTCATGGTCGAGGCAGGAAAATAGATCAGCAATACGGCAAACAAAGGATAACAAAAAGTAACAAAGCTTTTGGTTTCCCTGATGGTTATGCACTTTATCATCCACCCTGAAAAACTGTGGTGTTAATTTAACACCCAGGTTGTATCAATGGCACAGTTTCTACATACTGGGGTAGCATTTGAAGTCAAAGAAAACTAGATGGGAAAAATGTCTATTTTCCATTAAAGGGGGTTCACTAATAAAAATAGACAACATTTCTGTCTTCACTCCAGGTGCTGAGTTGCAGGCTAAAAGTTCGTACGTTGAAGTTCTAGAGAGAAACACTACAGTGGGGAAACATTGCTGCTCGCTAGGCCTTTCTATTTTATGTCGCATCCTGACCTTCCTTTTCTAATTACAAAAAAATCACCACCATCTCTGTAACACCAACCGACCTCTATACTGATGACCTACGCTTTGTTTGCGGGTGTGCTCTCCTTTGGTGTATGTAAAATAGGATGCATGAAATCATCTTGACATTGGGGGATTGGGGCCTGTTAGGGTTCAAACAAAGTGTGACGCCATCAGCACAATTAAATTCTGACTGCAGACCGGCAGTGACGGGTTGTGCGCCAAATACACATGTCCCCATCCGGCTGGCATTATTGTGGCTCTAAAGCCCATTCTAAAAGTCACTCTATGATCTAGTCAATCTTCTATGGCATTTCCACAAAGCACAGCTGTAATTTTCCAGCTCAAATACAACAATCTCATTTTGTATTAAGATGCATCAAATTGTCAAAAAAACTTGTCGAACAATGTTCAAATTAATCCTACGAAGTAAAATTGGATCTGGTGGGATTTTAAGGGAAAAAAATGAAAAAAAAATTAAAAGTTGTTTAATATTTACATTCTCCAAACTGGATTTCCGTTTGTGCTCAATTCTGTGTACATATAATGTTGTGCACCAACGTTCTCTGTTTAAACATAGCTCGTCTAAAAAGAATACATTTATAAGCTCACTTTTTTTTATCCTTCACACAAAGCAACTATCCCTACAAGTATGGCCCATTTGCAATCGTTATGATCAGCTCTTCAACATCAGCATTATTATCTTGATTGAATTTTCCTATATATTAGACAATTACATGAAAGAATTCCGAGGGCTTAAGAGAAGTGAACAACATTTTCAAAATAATTTTTTTCAAGTCATTTCAAAGTGAAGTTCTTCCGTAGGCAAGCGTCTCACACGCCATTTCAATGCATTTTCAATGCTAACTTTATACTAATCATTATTTAAAAATGTTTGAAAAAACTCACTGGGGTGGTCATTTTTAATCCATTTGTACATGTACTAGACCGCTCCAACTTGGCAATATCACACAAATATAACAGGGTTTGAGGAAGAATAGTCGATGTCACCTCCACTGAGTGCTGGACGTTGACAAATTACCATAATTCCTGAGGTGAAGCTTAGGGGAAGTCAGTCAACGTCCAATATCAAGAATGAGGTGACAGCAACCATCCATCCAGACTAAACATGATTAATACATGTTTACATTGTTTAACTATGCCTCTCAAATATTCAATTAGCATTACAACGTCAGCCCTCATTTGAATATGCAGATCAACATTGAGATGTGCCACCCTCTCTTTATGCGCGGTTAGCATTGTGCTGGAGCACGCCTACTTCACTCCAGCAATAGTTCCATGATAACTTCATAAAGCACATGCATAGTAAAACTGTTCCCCTGATTGACCAGAAAATAGTTCACTATGCTTGCATATGAATATGTGCATTTGACATGGATCTTCGTGTGCAGGTCTGGTAAACTGCCAAAACAGTGCGTGGCATGTGACGGTGAATGGACCAATGAGAATTCAGCTCATGAATATGAGTAAGGTATTTTAACCAGAAACTTCTCGGGATTCAAAGACAGATGTTTAACTGGAAAGAAGTAACATATATGACGTGGATATGATGTTACCATGGAAGGTCAAAAACTGAAAACAATATGATCATTCTCTAAAAACTGCAAGTCCCATTATCTGCTACTTTACTTGGATTCAATTCTCATGGTGAAATTTAGTCAAAATTGTGATTGTCAAATTGTAAACTAAAGCTATTGTGAAAAATTGTGGAAATGTAACTCTCATGAAGGTGGTACGTAAATAATCACGGGATTATTGAACTTGGAAGGGGACCAAATGATCTGCTTAAGGTCGCTGGATTGATTTTTCAAAACCCCAACACCATTCGATGCACACAGAAATACATGTACTGGATGGCCACAATGCAGAAACTCTATTCTCAATGTTCAATATCATTTAACGGATTTCATTTGGAGGAAACCTCTCCATGGTCTTTAGGTTTCATAAATCTACAACATGGGAAAGAGTCCAAGAGTTGGTTGAGAGAATTCATTGATGGTCGAAACAATACATGGCCTCATAATTTATCTACATCTTGCAAAAAAAAAGGAGATTCCATTGGAAATTATTTTCCGTCACATTTGCCAGTGAGAAAAACACTTTGGTCCCAAGGAAAAAAAGAATTGAGGCTTAATTCTCTATTCCAAAAATGGCAAGTTGCACTGCGTCTGGAGTAAATACATGCAAATGAACTGTGACTTTTTAAAGACAGGTCAGTGTTTGACCTTTTACCTTTAACCCTGAGTATTCTGCAGCAGGTGAAGTCATGCCAAACAGAGGTCCTCAAGCCCTTGAAAATCTGAGACAAAAGTAAAACACAGACGGCTTTAGGAATGCTCAGTTTTAGCCAAAACATGAATCAGGTGCGTTGTGCAAATATGCAAAGGCCCTGAGACAATAAAAAACCCGTGGGGACATTTTCTCTTGGTCGGTGATATCACTGCATTTGTTCTAAACAAAACAATATCCATATGGGGTAATTCTTGGGTTTTTTGATAATCATTTATAATCACGAGAGCAATCATTTTTTTTTTCCTTCAGATTTTTATTTTTGCCAACCAACCAACAGTAACCAGGTCGGGGACCAAACCACAGTCTAGCGATGACGCCAGACTACGCATACGCTGCTCGTTTGTGCAACGATGATGTAATTTTTGAACTATTTTTAGATCAGGTTTGTAGATGACATCGATCTCTTTATCCGCCAAAAACGTAAAAACAAATTCCTCTGACATTGATCAAATTTACAAGACACATGCTACCCAAGATCTAGATGAAACTTCCCTTTCATTTGGTATTTTAAAAGCAGATCGAGGAGATTTTTCAGTCAAATCTTGCACTGGATGTGTCGAATTCAGTAGGCAGGTGAGTCGAACTCTGCCGACGAAAACGTTTACGTGGAAAAAATGAAGCTTTGCCGAAGTTTACTTTATGCATGAAAATGTTGCCATTAAAAATTTCCATCGATTCACCATGGCACATTTTTTGTTTCCGTGGCGATTTTCCAAAATAGCGATCAGAAACAATTTTGCCATAGACTCCAATGGTAACGGCAATGGCGGCAATGTTGGCTGCCGGCATTTCAAATCTCGTTATTTTCCCAAAATCGTGCAGGAAATTTACATCATTATCAAGTGACCAGATTAAAATTACGTCACTGCTGCTTTAACTAGCGACATGAGCAGAAACTAGGGATGTCGCTAGATTGTGGTTTGGTCCCCGACCTGGTACCTGGGGACCTGGTGACAGGCCTCACTGCACATGAGCTGGGTTTCGGACGACACTTACTTCTCCAGATAATCCTTGACGCTGGTGTAACCGCTCTCTCTGGCCAGATGGATGAGGATGCCCGTGGCATGGCGTCCTTGCTTCTTGCGACAGAAGCTGCAGTTACAGATGCCACGGCACGGCGGGCAGATCCAGTCCTAGAAAACAGAGGGCAAAATTGCACAAATGTAATGACTGTGGTACAAGGAGCTGGGAGCTACCATAGAATAAATGTACTGGGCTTTGTACTAATGAACACAATTATGCAAATAAATCATGGTTTGCGGGAATTGGATGATTTGGAATTAACCTCAGGAGATCATCCAAGTATACCCTAAGATCTTGGCTGCCCAAACCTTATCTTTTCAAAAACTCGATATGGACGCACAAACACTAATGGTAAGTAATTTGTGAAGTTTCAATTCAATCAAACATAAGGCGCGTAATGACGCTCATCTGAAATTCAAGGCCTCACATGTCAGCCTGCGTATAGCCTGTGTCTTGCCCAAGTTTCACAACACTGGTGTCAAAATGACTGCAAGACAGTGCTGGAAAATTCTTGAAGTTTTGGCGTAGGGAAAAAAAACCTGCTTGGCCGCCACATCGGAGAATAAGTGGGTGAAGGGGCAGATTCAATGCCCTCCCCCCACCCCTATTAGGGTTAATCAGAGACAAGAGATGGGAAGTGAGACAATACTGCAAAAAGAGAACGAAAAAGAGACGTTCCTCTTGAAGGAAGCAAAATATTTCTGCACTTAATATTCTCTTAATCCCTTCTGATTGTATGCATGCACATCACAAACATAAACCGCAAGGCATGGGCAGAGACACAAACATGTCTGACTGGTGGTGGAACACGCAGATTGCGTCAGTAAGTCAAGTGACCTTGATACAGTGGGTATTAAACATCAACAAACATGGCGTCCTCCCATAGCGAAGTGTGTCATAAGTGTCATTAACCAAGAAAATAAAGCTGACAGTCAGTGCAATACTCAGACTACTGATGTGTCAAGTGTGGTACTGAAATCTTCCTTATTTTTGGTAAACGACACTTAAAATTTACAAATGATACATTGCAATGGGAGGATGCCATGTTTGATTTAAGATACCCTCTTTATTGGTAGGTCATGTGACTTCCAAGGCGCAATCGCTCTACTGGAGATGACCACCAGGAAAATCTAACATCTTGCCTACCGGGTTCAGCAGAGCAGCCTTGGCATCTTCGCCATAGCGATTACGAAGACAAGGCCCACAGAACTGGCCTCTGACCCCGGTGCAGCCGTCGTAGCGACATATGGTCTTCATGTCAATGGTCTTCTGGCGGCACTGGTGGCAGGTGGTGCCCTGTAAAAGGCAAGAGTTTTGTAAAAGCAAAGCAAAAAACAAACTTGAATTTGGCAATTCCCAGCATGGTGCCAAAACAATCAATATTAGCATCAGAAAGTGACCGACGCTTTGGCACCACTTGGTATTAAGTTCAAGCCAGGAAACTTTACCAATCCCTGGTTGATTTTGCCTGGTACCCAGTATACATTTTGTGCACAACTTACCAGGGAAAATTGACCAGTGGTTAAAACATTTGGTCATTGCTAAAACGTCCCTACTGCTGCTGACTGCTTGACGCACATCCAAAAGCCCAAACAGGTTTGTGCGCATTGAGATGAAAATCAGTCATGTCCACTACGCACCCAGGGGTAAAAATTTCAAGAAAAGGACAACTAAACTGGACAACTGCAGGGCTGGTAACTCATAAAATTAACTGGGCCAGAAAAAATGTTACAAGATGGACACTGTAACAGAAGTAATTATGAGAAAACTGTTTGAACACAGTTGACTGTTACATGATTAATGTACACATACCAGTGCTGTACATTCTCCACATACCTACCGTAGGTACCTTTATTTCAAAGAAAATGAAGCCTACTTCATTCCTTTTTTACCAAATTTCTAACTGATTTTCTGGCTTGCAATGGTGCCAATGCTGGAAGACCAATCACTGGCCTCAGTCCACCACACCAGTGGGCATTTCAAACCCTGTACCCAAAATGAACATAAACCAACATAACCAGGCCCCTGCTTCGTTCAGGAAGTCCAACACTAGCGTTAAATTCTTCACTGCTTTGTCATGCGCTATTCTCCTTTGGAGAGAAAATTGCCAGAATACATAAATTTTCCAAAATCTACTAACGTGACTGAAATCCCCAACATGGTGTACAAACACCAATGGCATGCTCTACGAATTGAACCAAGCTCTTTGAAATGATCCTGCACCCCACAAAATCCATTCAAATCATACAAAATCTGGAATTGGTATGGTTAGACCAGAATTGTATGCTTTACACACTTGAGCCAGTGAACACAGCTTCCCGTATGCATCCTCCATGCAAACTAAACCCTGATGGCAGCAGTGCATCCTGGGGTCAGGGGCGGGGCAACTTCCCCCCGCCCTCTGGACTTGAAGACTTGAAAAAGCTTCAGCACTTGAGAAATAGTATTGCCACCTTTATTCACAGAGAGAGGAATCTTTTGTGGATGAAAACAACATTGTACAACATTAAATATGACCTCCCTGTGACCCTTGACCTACCACTTCAGCATTGTATTTCTTGTCCCTGACACACTCGGCGACCATTTGCAGTTCCTCCTCAGTGATGTCTTCAGGTTGCCTTGCTGCCTCATGAGGGCGGTTCAGCCTCCGTCGTTTAGTTGGAGTTGGCAGTTCCTCAACTTCATCCTCGTATACTTCAAAATCAGAGTCGGAATCGTTGCCCGAGTCCAGGGAGGATTTCTTGAATGTTGGACCAAACTTAATAATAAGTTTCTGCAAAAAAACAGACAATGAAAATCTTAATTTTTAAATTTCAAACAAACAAAAACATTTTTACTTTAAGAAAACGACAAGACAATTGCATCTCAAATGAGACAGGGTTGGAACAAACCCAAGAAATTCTCTCTGCCTTATTAAACTTTACAATTAGACAGTTCTTCGAAGTGATTACATCAAAATGAAATAATGAACTAGCAAAACATCTGCAGTAAGAATGTCTTTGTCAAAAACAGATTAGACAGCTGCTCTTCCAACATAACCCTGCTAAATACAACTTATTCAAACAGCCATCAGAAATTTGTTGTGGAGGGCTTGTACCCCTATATAAACAAGCAACAACACAATAAAATCCTTGGCTGTGTTTCGTTGCATTGTGCCATTTCCCCATTTCACCCGTGCTAAATTTTTACAGACTACCTAGAGAAAAATTGACGGCCTCAGGAATTACAGATGCAAGAAGAGTGATTCCGCGTAAACGGTCGCACCATTTCTTGGGCCACACCCACCTCCCCTTCTTTGACGGGAAACAAGTCTTCGTCATCGACATAAACTTTGACCTCATCCTCCTCTCCAGTCTCCGCCCTTCTCTTCTGCCTCGTGGTCTGGATCAAGGAGGGGCGCTGAAAGAGCGGTGATCTCAGCCGTGCCTTGCGGGCAGGGTTGCGCCTCCGGATGAAACTGCAATCCAGCGATTTCCTTGTCTTGGGAGATCGCTGCAGCATAACGAAAAAGGAAGGACAGAGTCATTGTGAACATGGTGAAGTTATGAATACACACTAAAGACCAGTTCATACGAAGGGCGAACATGAAAGCAAGGCCAATTTGACATCACTAAAGATTTGCAGCAAAATTTCGCTTGAATAAACGTGTTCAACTTTTGCAAATTCTCAGTGAAAATACTTTATCTTGTGTCACAAAGTCATGCTCACTTTAGCATAAAGCATAAACCAGCCTTGAGGGCTATCGGTGAGGACAAACTGAGTCTTAAGACTCTGAATAAAGAACAAAGTACAAGAATGGGCAGAATTAAAATTGATATCAAAATGAGTACAAAAGTACAGACCTGTAACCAATATTTGTACATTTATCAATTTAAAGGTCTTTATAAATGCCAGGTGTGTGTATCTCATTCTAAGCGAGATATGTGGTTCTAAAACCAACTTTCATGCAGAGACTCACCATTGTGCAAATCATAACCCTCTCGGGTGTATGTAAAATTATATTGAAATTGGAGGATTTGGGACTGTTAGGGCTCTCTCAAATATCTTCAGCTTGAGTGTGAGTCTGAGTGTAGCTTTAAGTAGAGTAAGGCACTGGCAGGTCAACTGTAAGTTGGGGAAAGAATCTAATTGGACATCCTCTGAGCACAGGTGGAAGTTTACTATCTGCAAGGCTCCAACTGTCAGTCACCGCTGTCACCAAATGCGGCTGTGGCTTTGTTTTTCAACACTGACACACACTACACAGCCGCAGCCACAGACAGAAATACAACATGTCAGGCAGTCTCTTTAATGGTTAAATCTCTCACCTTGGGTGACTTTGAGCGACGACGAGGCAAGCCAGGCATCCCTCCAATGTCCGACAGCAACTTACTCAGCTGTGTAAATGGGAAAAACATGAGATTAGTCAAGTAGAGGGGACAAGCCCCACTTTACAGTGTTTTCCACAGGGGAGTGTAGCAGGGCAGGCCACCCTGCTAAAACTAACATCACCACGCTAAAAGTTTCACCACCCTGCTTTTTTTCATTGGATTTTTCCCCTTGGCCACTGTCTGCAGTTTATCTAAGTAGGAAGAAGTTAACCGCAATATGTGGAACAAACACGAAGAGTTTGCCAGCATTAATATTCAGCAGTATTGCAGTAACATTCACAATCAAACAGGTGGAAATGGGGCATGAAATCCAGATGTTTCCAGAATTCTATGAATGGCTCACCATGGCTTTGTTTTCCTCAATATTCTTCTGTCTTCGCAACTCATAGCTCTCATCTTCAGTGTCAATTTCCGATAGCTGTAGGGGAAAAACGATTCGGCGTCCGAATTGTGTTAAACCAAAAATGCCTTCAAATTTATTTCATCTGCTGCAAAAAACAACTGGGATTCACAAGTTTTAAGTTCAAAGTGACTGAAGCATTTTGCCGGCTGGAGAATTGGATGCATTCTAGGAGTCTGGGGGAAGTGAGGTGTCAGTGCCTAATGCCAGCAAAGGGCGCCAGCCAGGAAACACTGTGGAGTGGTGCAGTGGAGCCCCTGCTGGTCAGCCACAGAGACCCATTGCTGGACGCCACAAGCACGGTCGTTTTTTCTTGCCATGTTTGGCAGGTTACTCTCAGTGTTTTTCTAGTCTGAGCTTAAAAACGACAGGTTGCTTTCTATACACATCCCCTGTGGACATACTGGCATTCGCGTACTTCCTGGCTAGTATATTCCATATAAACCTACATTGTAGCTAGTATATTGCCACTTAACAGCCTGTACATAAACCCTATGAGACTAACTCGTCTGAAAAATTACAAGTGTTTACTAAGTGAATACCTCAATATTGGACTTTTTGGGACATTTTATTTTTACTGCGTTAAAGCAGGGTAATATTAAAGCCACTGTTGGGAAAAATTAGTGCCACCCGTATATAGAATTCTTTCCCATTAGGTACTTCCGGACATAAGGAAGTTGTGAACGAAATTTCAGCTTCCTCTGTCCTGCAGGCCTACATGTAAAAGTGTGAAAAAGGGTGGTGTAAATTATTAATTAGGGAGCTACATGATTTTGGGAAGAGTTCCATATACAGACGCCAGTAATTCTTCCTTAAAGTGACTTCACAGCCACCAGCAGACAAAAATATGTCCTGAAAAGTTCAATTCAGGAGGGAAAAGAACCGCAGAAAAACACTTCTTTTTTTCTTCAGACCAGTCCCATAGGGTTAGTGCACACGGTGTCAAGTGGCATCCTATGTATGGAATTCTTTCCACGAGTTCGTACCCTCGACCTTCGACGTTAGTCAAAATGCAGTGGCCCTAATGAGACATCATCAGACTGACCTGGCATGATGTGCTTGGGTAAAAAACTTAATCACAGCAACATGTAGACTGCAAAAAGTTCAAAGCAAACAAATCACTGGACATGCAGGTCACTTTTTTCCAGTCAAGTCACGGTCAGTAGGCCTACATTGTACATGTATATTTATGATATTTTTCTGCTTTCAACTGGCCAACAACACACAGGCCTACAACAGGTATGATACATGTAGGTAGGCCTAGGCCTACAAAATAATTACACCTATTTGTATTAGAACATTCTCCTTTGGCCTACAATTTGTAGGTCCTCTATGTATATGAGCACCCAATCTTTGCAGAAATATCAACTTTTGGTTGGTTTTGATTCATTTGCAATGGACAACTGTCCCATTGATGTTTAATAGAGGGCCTGGGCTTCAAGTTTCATTTAGGCCTAGGCCTAGTAGTAGTACGTTAGTATTAGGCCTAAAGTTATTAGGCCTACATGTATCTGGAGTTCTGATAATATTTGGGTGGGATTTAACACTCTGTGAACTGAGCCTGGTCTGGGTGGCTTTGTAGGCCTATTCTTTGTCTTTTGGCACCGACGGCCAACCATACTTTAGTGAGTTTTACTGGGCCCTACAACTTACAAGCAAAAAAATGACTGTCGTCTGTCAGTCTGCGGTGTGAGAGGGGCCTTGCTTGGCCAAAAAATATGAGCCCCATTCGAACATTGGGCAAGGGGCTAGCTTTGTCCTCAAACTTGCAGCAATGATTCCTCATATATCCGTAATTCAGATTTTGAAATCTGCTTCCACCCCTTAGATTGAACAACACAACTGCCAGAAGACTCAGAGTCAGTTCCACGACTACACTAGTTAGTTGTACCCAATGTGTAAAACTGATAGATACATGAAATCTACAATCCTAGTTTTAGCTAAACTTTTGTAATTCGTAATATTTTTACTCATATGTGGGGGTAAGACTTTGTCATTTCATCAACTCCCCTGAATGAACTGTCTTCAATGTTGTCGTTTTTTTTCCCCTGTTTGGTGAACATAGATTTATAACTTAATTTTTCATAATTTTTATTTTTACTTGTTAAAATTATGAATCATTTTCCTCTTATCATTTTATATTCCCTCCTACTATGTGATGCCTATAGATGATTGTAAATGGGGTTTTATCAGCGACCCTGATGTGGCTGCCTACCGTGTATGTTTTAATTGAATAAACCCGAATACATAAATAAATAAATGTGACAACAGCACATGAAAAGAGTAGTAAATACATGTACATGTAGGTCCTAGGCCTACATTACATGGGACATGCATTACGACAAGCCCTAGTCACGCTGATCGATTGAGAAATAACGTACAAAGCAAATTAGGTCAGCTTTTTTTTTTACATGAAGCTCCACCACTGTCCGCGGGCTAAGCCACTTGACATTGTGTTCGACTTCGAGTCGACTTTTTTTGTAGTTTTATGCTTGCGGACATTCATGACACTCTAAAATCCTTGGTGGTGTGCAATGACAGCGATCAGAACTGATCAACAGTGATGATATAACCTGCCTTACCTTTCGATTTGGGGCCATTTCGTAACTCTTTTCTGGAAACGTTACGCCTTCTTTGACTCCTCCCGTCGCCGCGCTCCCAGTTAATGACGATGGCACACGTGGGTTTAAATCGCGGGCAAAAACACAATAGGTGGAAGCCATTCCATTGATTTCAGATCTCACCAGCAACGCGTTTAAGTAGTCTAGGAACCAGACAGGATTGCTAAATATAGCCACGATTCCCAGGGGCCCAAAATGTTCAACGCGTTGGCAGAGGGGTGACGGGAAAGGGGAGGGGCATAACAGAGTAATTTAAAGAAGTAGCTCCAGTCTTGACAAGCCCTTAAAGAATTCGTTCTCGTAAAAAATCTTGTCTGTGCATCAAACACTAAGAAATACCATGGAAATACCGTAACGGAGGAGAGCCCGTGTAAAATAGGAAGCTGACTAGGTCAGGTAAAAAAATGGCTAGATTGGCCTATTCATAGGGAAATGTATACGGAGGGAGATAGAAAAAAAGAACGTACGGAGAGCAAACTAGGCCAAAGAAACAAAAGAATACTTGTATTTCACATCGTCCTTCCACGGATAGTGCTGAATGGGTTACAGTACAAACACGCTCAAGTTATATCATGAAAATAAACTTGTAAGGCAACATTTTACCTGGTGATAGTGACGGAAGCCCATGTTTTAAATATTTCAAGCTTAAAGAACTGCCTTGCACATTTGTTATAAAATAGGCAATTCAACACTGATTCAATATACAAACAGAGACCGTTTTCCAACTGCACCCATGACGGTTTATTTCCTACACTGTTAAGTATTATTATTTTTTTAACTCTGCAGCAACAGAACTCACGATCCTGAGTCCATTTTCAGTTTTAAGAGCTTTCAAATACTTGTTCAAAAAAGGCCAGGAGAAACGAGATTTTCAAAATCATCCTCTTTCAGTAATTCTGGCTTGAAAATTAACGCTGCAACTTGTTACTATGGGGGAAACAGTATTGACATCACGTAGCCTTTGTACAAGTCCTTCTGTTGGGTTCTAATCCAAACTGTATCACAATGTATAAAGACAATGGACGTGAATTTAAAGGTACGACTTGAAATGCACCTTGTGACAATTCACTTTTACTTTTCCAATCCGTATTGCACCTTTCTATGTGTTGTTTCATCTTTGGCAAAAGATTTCGTGCAAAACCTGTCCTCAGAACTGTACATGAAGTCCATTTGCCAAAATATTTTTTATGTTCATTTATTGCGTTTCAAGTTTTTCAACAGCAAATCTCTGTCTAAATTAACCCCAACCTGAAATAGCTTCTTTTGTGAGAAAGTTACGGCACAGATCCTATACTGCACATGTTCAAATCATATCCATGACAGAAGATTTACATGAAAACATATTTTGTCTTGTGTCTGGCAGACAGACCTGTGGGGTATTTTCCCTTTACGGCTCACATTGCAACAGCTGGCTCAATATTATTCCTCTACCAGGCAGCAGACGATTTATTCAGACATTCAGTCCTCTGAACTACACAAAATAGCACACCATTTTGAGGTGCAACTTTGTCTCAATAGTAACAGTTTCTCTTTGAGTTTATTCACTGTTACTGCGATGTCACATTTCACACTGAGGGGTTCTCAGCAAAAGATTTACTTGCTCAAATGTCTTATCACGCCCAATTACTGACTGAAATGAACCGCCATGCCCCACACAGAAAACCGATCATGGTGAAAATGCCAACATTTTAGAATGCATCGCCACAACGTGCGTTCTTCTGTTGTTACACCACGTTAACTTCCACAGAAACACTCTTTTCTTACAAATTCAACATTTCATTTCCATTTCATTGCATGATAATCTTGGTTCATAAGCAAGTTCTAATGACGAAACGCTGCTTTCAATCAGAAGAAATACATTTAATGGCACTTTTAAGAATAGGCTGATGAGAGCAATGAAAGAACTTACGTCTCTAAAGGTATATTATTCATACATTTCTGGATATGAATCAATCTCGATGAAACCACCACCTTAAATTCTGTTTCACCCTTAAGCTTACATTATTTCTACAAAACTATCCCAAACCTCTGAAGCCCACAAAATCATAAAATAATGGTACAAAACTATTACCCTAAAAATGAAAACAATAACAACAAAAGGCAAACCATTTATATGCAATGCAGCATTTAAATGGTGTCAATTAGAAATAGAAGTGACCCCAAGAGAATAAAAAGCTGCCTTTAATCAACCAGAAAACCCCATTTTTATATATCGTTCTGTAATTTACACCAGAAAGGGTAACATGTTTCTTATCAAGACTTCCTAGAAGCATATAATGATCCTTATGAGTGAATGCACATAGGGTACAGTTTGATCAGCGAAAATTAATCACCCACTGGTTACTATTACCTGGTACCAAGGAGTTATTTTATGAACTTATTACAAATGAAAGGCGACTGCTGGTTAACAAACAGTCACTAATCACACCTGACATAAGGTAGGCTTTGCTGTTTGAACTGTCACTGTCACTGCCAGCCAGGTAGGTGCACAAACCCAGTTTTCGTCTACAACCCAAGAGGCACAACAGTAATCTCGGTCATGGTAGGCCCTTTTTTTCTATGAAATTGCTTGAAAACTGCCCATGCTCTTTGTTGCAAAAGACAATGACAAATACAGTCTTATCGTTGAAACTGTTGTAACATATTCAGAGCGACATGTCCTGTATGCAAAACAATGTTCAATCAATACTATTTGCCAAAGATAAACATGTAGTTCTAATACCTCTGCTTCGGTTTGTCAAAATTCCCAAAGGTCGGGAAACAAAACCAGAGAATGTGAATCCAAGTAGATAACATTTTCAGTGCAGAAACATGTAGCTGGTGCCCTCAGTCCTAAATGTTAGTGAAAATGTAATAAAAGATAAGCAAGTGTCATGCAATATATGAAAAACCCCACACTACTGTTGCTATAGACCAGCCAATCAGCATTGAGGATTTTAGCTTGGGTGAAAGCAACAATGCATACTCAAACCTGATATACATGAAATGCATCTTTAAATGACAGAACAGACTGCAGATTAATATTTTAAAAAGACATGTGAGAAAATACTAAAATATTCAATACAACTTTACATAGTACTGAGCTGGTTCAACAGAAGACCTTAAGGCATCGTCCGGTAAGTACTGGAATATTGCCACAGGCATCACCAGGAAGGGGGTGGGGCAAAGCTTTTGCCAGGGAGGAAACACTCGACAATGTGATTTAATCAGGAGGTGGCCATTTCAGATGCTGCTCCATGGAGCCATGTGATTCACTGAAGAATTTTGCCTGACACTTTCGCTGTAACTACAGGGTTTCCAAACTGTGAATATAATTTTTTCATTACAGCCCAAAAGATGACATACGTATATCCAAAATTTGGCATTACCCATCAAGGCATAACGATAGTAATCTATCACTTTCCCATATTGCCCCATCTTCGTACCCACACATATTAAACTCTGGTAAAATTTTCAAAGGATGCCTCACTTTCAATTCAAGATGGCCGACTTGTAAGGTCAATAGCACAATGACCGACCATCAACAATAAAACATGGAATTCACTCTTTGCACTTCTAGTCTTTAGTTTTATCCTTCTGTTTTACTTCTTTCCTTTTTTGTTTCTATGATTTTCTTTTCCAAATGGGGACCGAGTGTCCCACATGCCCATACCATCCCACGATGCCTGTGAATATTGCTTGTACGTATTAACCTGTGATGAACAAGGTTCAGGTCAGAGGTTATAGTTCATCATGCTCCATCTCTATCACAACAGGTCCACTTGGTTGGTCAAGGACGCGTGCAAAATTCTTCAGCCTTTCGACATCGATCTCTTCAATCTGCTTCCGAGTCAGATACCCCCGCCTTTCGGTGTCAAATGTTGCAAAAATCTGATAGGAAAAACAACCAATTAAGAAGCTAAAAGACTGTTTTATAGGTGCTGGAAAAATGATGAACAGCAGGATTATTGTTCTTGTAAAACACATCCGGTCCATTCTCTGTTCTTGTTAACCACTTGCTGCCGGGTGGATTTTTCTTGAGCAAGACAAGATGCTGGGGCCTTTTCAAGATTTTCCGTTTTTGAAATTCTTCAATAATTCATCATCTCATTTCATGGACGTTAATACCTACATGAAGGACTCTTTGGGTACTACTCTAAAGCTGACAGTTAACCTTCATTGACTTTTGAATATTTCAGCCAGGCCTGCAGCCTTGGAAAAAAAGCCCAGATTGTGCGGTGTTAGGTAAGATTTTTTTGTTCCCAGAACTGGCACAGTGCACTGCTGACCTCCTTTCAATAGGGGCCAGATTAGCATGCAGCGGTGCTGTGTGGCTCATCCCTGTGGTGGTGGAGAGCTTTTGTCCCCGGTGGTAATCCGCTTGCTCTAAATGCCTCAAACCATGGTATACGGTTTCAAAACAAGGCTGGATTATCTCCACTATTGAGAGCGAAAAAATGTCGGTAATGCCCAGCAGCTCAGTCTTTTGTGCTGAGCATGGTCTTTTGTTATTAAGGCCCAACTCTTTTGTCCCAGTTCTGGGCTCCCCAGCTCTGCATATAAAGCCTATGTACTCGAAAACGGGTCCCCCAGCAGAGAGTGGTTAAATTAGTTATCGTTCAACACTGCGTGTCATCTCTCTTTCATCCGTATCATACTGGCTATCCTATTTACACAGCTGAATAAATTACTGTCAGGCACTGGAAGGATGCCTGGCTTGTCTCATCATGCCTCGATCTGGCTGTCTGACTTGGGCATTTCTGTATGTGGCTGCGGCTACATAGTGTAGTGTCAAGTGTTAAAAAACAAAGCCACAGCCACACATTTGCTGACAGTGGTAAGTGACAGTCCAAGGGGATCCAGGGGAGGCACCAATGGGGGTAATAGCCCCTTGAAAGGAAATTTTTCCCCTCCCCCCCAAAAAAATTTGGTTGTGGATATGCCCTTGCTGACTGCTAAAAACTGTGCAAATATTCAAATGAATATTCCGACTCAAGGAATTCAAATCAACTTCTGCCCCTACCAGCAATTTTTTTTCTGCTTTTTTTAATGAAACTGTCACTGTCTCTTGCCTCATATGCTTCTATAGGGATGTCCTCGTCTTCCGTGGCTACCTCCTCCTCTTCCATGCCACTCATTCCCATGAAGTAATGGCCAAAACGGTGTGCCGACAGCTTGTCCGTTTCCTTCAGCAGCGAGATCATGTCATTGCGGATGTTTTCAGTGTCCATGTAGCCAATCTCTATCACCTGATGGCAAAAGTGGACACACAATTTTTTGAAGGCCTTTAAATGGAGCAGTGTGGCAGTGAGGTCGGCAGACCGACAAACCATCACCACAAGAAGGCACTCAGTTATGATTAGTTTCCATGAGGTGAATTTCTGTTCCCCCCCCTGAAAGCAGGAGTTTACTATTTATTTTTATTTTTCACCATCTGAGCAGCAGGGAAGGTGACATTATTGTTGGATTTTTGCCCTGCCCATATTATCACACAGTATACTCAGTGTTTGCCCCCGGAGGGCATGTGAAAAAACCACAAGTGTACTCAGGTGGGACTCGAACCCACAACCCCCTGCTTGCTAGTGCAGATGTCTTAACCACTCGACCATTGAGCTTGCCGATGTCGGCTGGTTGGTTTGAGTCAGATCGTAGCAGTGGGTACAGCAAACAACTGCACGTATATCCAAGGTTGGATTTGCTCTGGGGAGATACTAGTTTATTTTGGATTTTTGCCCTGCCCGACATCTATTAAAACACTGTATACATGGTATATGCAGTGTTTGCCCAGAAGGCTTGTGAAAAAACCACAAGTGTACTCCGGTGGGACTCGAACCCACAACTTCCATCCTTGGAAGGTGACATTATTAGCTCAATCTATGAACAGTTTACAGGGTTTAGAGACAACTTCACAGAATCAGGATTCCCACTAACTAGAATATTTGTGTACCTATTTAACTGATTAAAACAGGAACTTTCAAACAGGTCATTGGAACTTAACAGGAACATAATCTCCCAGGGTCAACCCACATGCTGATAAGAGAGATACATACGTCCTGGTATCACCTAGCTGAAAACTCGAGTTCAGGCAGCTGAACTTAGGTTTTCTGGTAAATGAGAATTTACAATGTGTGTGAAAACTGGCAATCCCCTTTCCTCCTGTCTCGTTCTTTTCTTTCTCTCTACACTTCTTTCATTTTCCCATTTTTTTTTTCAAAAGACCGAAGTTCCCTCTTGGTCACTCCTCTGCAAGGACCACTGACAAATGGCGTGCGCCAAATGGATCCTATCTACAGACCTCTACAAGGCAAGAGAGCCACTTTTCTTGCATGCGCCCCTTACCTTATCCCCTTTCTTGTAGGTCCACATGACCCTGACCTGGGACAGGTCAGTGTACTCAAAGGTCGCATTTTCACAGTCGGACTGGTCAAATGTTGGCTCGGAGGCAAACAGGATGGTTGCAGAGATACTGCGGCTGTAGGAACGGACTTGGTGCAAGTAGCCTGAGCACAATATGAAAGTTCAAACGGTCACCGAGTTTGGAAGGGAATTGGAGTGATTCACAATACTGTTTGTTTTTAGAGAGTTCAATTGAACTATTAAATGGAAATGCACACAGCATCACGTTAATCAATAGGACGCGCTGCAATGATTTAATTTATTTCTTACATGATAAGTAAAAAAACCTCTAGTCTTATGGACTAAATGACAGTGCCACGACTGGTTATTATAGTAATGTGGGACATGTGGTTTTTAATACCCTGAGAGCTGCATATGCCCTTTAGTGTAATGCATCCCTTAGGTGTGAAAAATGTCAGGTTCCAAATCAAATCATTGTCTTTCACCCACCTGCTGGGATGTAGATGCAGTCGCCAGGCTTTAGGGTACTCCATCTCCAGGGAACCTTGCCAACGTCTTGGTGCTCAAAGAGATTGATCATGTCTACATCCAGCTTGGAGTAGCCTGAGCCAGTCATGTGATGCTGTATAGAAAATGATGCGTACATGTACATTGTACACGCTGCATAAACAAAATTCAGCAGACCCAGTTTCCTACTCTGAGAGCCAAAATGACAGTCTCCCCTCATAAGAATATATCCTGGGAATGTTTTTGCCACCTGTAACCAGAAACCCATTTGTGAAGTTGAAGTACCGTAACAACTTGGAACAAGTTTTTAAAAACACAACCGGAAACTGTTACACGTAGAACACAGTTTCAATAAATATTTGAAGTACACAAAATATTTGTAGTAGATAAAACTGTTAACAAACAACACTTTCACTCAGTATCTGGCATGTCTCTTATCCCTGCTGCCTTCTCTTTTCACCTTTTAGAAGAAAGTACCTTTTTTTATTTTGTTGTGTACAATAACAAAGTAGGGAATGCACAATTCAAGACAAAAACATTGCCTGCTCCCAAAGCATTTTCCTCACTTTCGATAAGCAACGAACCAACTTCAACCTGCGGTTCTAGCTTGTTTGGTTGGAAAAGAAAATATACAAGTAGAGTCTTGAAAACACCCAACCAAAGATGATTGGAGCAAATACAAGCAAACAAATGTGGCCCTGTTAATACCTCTTCGGTGATCTCCAGCTCCTTGGAATACTTTGGATCAATCATGATGAAGTCTTTGCGTCCAGCCAGTAGGCAGTGAATGTTGTGATCGGCATCATAGTGGATGACCGAGGCCGTACCCCCGCTGCTCATCCACAGGTTAGTCTCCAGGAGACGTCGCTTAAAGGTGCCACACAGGAGGCTGTCTGGGACCTCATCAACGAGCAGAGACAGGGAACAAAAGAAACTGAGCTCTCTCTGGTTTTTGAGCAGAAAGTGGAAGGCAACAAAAGCTCAACCTCCTCCATTACAGCTTTCTGACAATCTTTGAAAAAACCCACCTGATGGATTGATAACTTTACTAATGTACATGTACTATACAGGGATGCCTTCATAACTAACAGCATGCTGAATTGGCAATCTAAGAGCTAATACCGTCAGTGTGGAGTTTATCACTACGGAAGAATAAGAACCATGGGCTTACTCACGGCATTTTCTCTCTTTCACTATTTGCTGGAAAATTGTTCAACAATTTAGATTTCAATTAGTTTAGAGTATTAAACCTGTCAATCCTTTTCATACACAGCATTTCCAAAAAAGAAAATCCAACTGAATTTCCAATTCTCTGCATGTCGCTTTTCAGTCTTCTAGCTTGGAATCAAGCAGAGACATAAAATGTGATGAGACTGGTTTAAAGTGAGCATGTCAGAAGACTACCAGTACGTACATGGAGAGCGAAATGTAGTTTTTGTTTTAGTATATTTTTCTCTTGTTTTCCACTAGAAAAATTCATAAAATTTCTCGTCAATTCAATCACAGCAGAAATCCATTACTTTTCTTCAAATGAGCACTCAGATTCATGTATGTACTTGTACCTTGATCATTGATCGAGTATGTGTTAATGAAAAGTGCCACAAGCTGCCTACAGAAAATTTTCTAGAGGATTCTCACGTGTTTCATTCCAACTGAACAACGTGTCGCTCATCATCAGCTTTGCATTTCCACAGCCACACGATGACTAATCCTGTATAGTTATCTTACACCATTCGTCGTCAACTCTCTCATTAATTCCATGCACTCAACTGTGGCAACAGCTGTCTGCAAACTCTCTTCGTCATGCAGTGATTATTGATCATCTCCATGGTAACCGACTACAACAGGTGCTAAACTGGATACATCCACGTGGCAGCTCACAGAATGGCCACGATATCAAAACCAGAGGGACTTGCCCGGTTTCAAAATGCACATCTCTGCATTTAAAGGAATACATATATCCAACGACAGGCCAATGGATCATAGACTGTACTATACTGTTCAAATTTAACCTGAGGCCTTATTTGGCAAAATCGTTTACCATATCTCATACCAGTAAGCAGGTGATTTTTCCAACAGAAAGTTGTACCTCCATTTCATGTTTCATGTACATGTATAAATGTACGTCTCTTTAACTCTTTAAAGGACTTCACTTAATTCTCAACTTTGAAGTTTTCACATGTCAGAAAAGCAAGTACATGTACATGTATAGTTACATAATAGCACCCTCATTTTCACCCTGGGATATCTCAAACTTATGCAAAATTTGACAGACATGCAGATAATGGGGCTCCTTTTAATGCATTCTGGGTAAAAAACCTGCATATGTGAGACCACATTGAACGACAAATGCAAGCAGTGTGATTGGAATATTAAAAAGTCTTTATAATTTTTCCCTCTAAGCCTCTAAAATGCATTTTAGACACAAAAACAATGAAAGATTTCCTGCATGAGAGCACAATTATGGTACACTGTAAATTAAAAAACAATAAAACTGACGCCAAACAGAGACAGCAGTTTAAAGCTATATGTAGACTGGCCGTTTAAGTTAGACAAATGAAAAAGTATCCTTACTTTGACCTCATGGGCCATTTCTAGTGGGATCAAAGACACAATGTACACATCGTCAGTCAGATAACGCTTCAAGAATTCGGCCAACTTCATGCGTCTTGGCCGGATCTCTCGGTTCTCCCTTTTGACTTCAACCAAGACGTCCAATTCCCCATATCTGATGAATATAAAATTGTGGAAAAGTAATTCATTTCGATTTGATTCTGATAAATTTCTTTGATAAAAGCATCACAAAATTTGAAGTCAGAGAAAGAACTTAATTTGATTAACAGAATTAAGTTTAAAAATACGGATCAACACAAAGTTTCTTAAATAGAAAAGAACAGGGTAAAATTAGATAATTATTAAAAAACCAGGGACCATCATTTTAAGCATCCCAGTACATGTACCAAGTATATGTAAATAAAAACAATGAGGGCAGTTTCATAAACCAGCTACTGAAATATGGAACCAAGAGGGCACGAATGTAACATGGTACATGTACATGTGGTGAACTTGATTTACGATTGGTTTGGTGAATTATGGAAAAATTGAATTCAAACTAAACCTGTACCATGGAAGGGATCAGTGAATCTACATGTACAGATATCTTTCAGTTCTTACATTCCCAGATTTTCTATAAGTTTCCTGTGTTTTTTAACCCTAACCCTACACAGTACTATGAATTACTAGTTGTAGTAAAATGTAGTACTCAGTCCTGTCGCATTTAAGAGGACGTGACCTTATTGTTCTCTGAGGCCATAAGATACAATAGATAAGACAATGTACCGTACAGTGCTGTGGCACTATGAATGTATGGCTTTATTGTTCTCTGTACAAGTAACAATGGAAGTAACCTAGCCAGAAGTAGTAATTTGTAGCGCTAGGTCCTTCAGGCTCAGGCTACTTCTTAGTATTCTGTAGTACTGTGAAGTGTAAGCCAAACAATATGCTTGGGGGGTTAGGGTTAAAGTGCATTCTGACAATCAAATCAGATTTCCATTCAGATGGTAAGAAGTAGTGGTGTCTACTTACAATAAGAAATGATTCTGCAAATTTCACAACCATGTGTTTAAGCTTTTGATGTAGTGACTTACATGTAGATCTTGGTAGAACAATGAATTTGGACCTGTAGGTAACTTATGCAAAGCCTTTTGATTCCAAATGACCATACCTCTACCCCTGATTCTGATTATGGACAAATACGTATCAAGCTTTTAGACTGCAATAAGATCAACACGGACTTGCTTCTTTTTATTATTGATTTTGACTGAAATATAAAGTCATCTTGAAGCTCTAGTAAGGTACATGTACATGTACCGGTATGCTGTACACAGGGTGCTTTAGGAGGGTTCTTAACTAGTGCACAACTGAATTCCTTGATCTATCAATAACATGACCACTGATTTTCCACACCTATTTCTCATGCCTAACCTTCATGTGTATTTCAGGTCGCGAGCTGTCAGTCTTTTGCCTATTTTGATATCAACTTCCTAGAAACTGTGACAACCGTACGTGTACACTTACATGTACTTATTTCACATGTCAAAATCTTGAGATGCTAACCCTCCCCCCGGTATGTACATATGTACACGCCCACGCGTGTGTCCTTTGAGGTGGGTGCACATTTGACAAGTCGCAACACCTTACTGGGTGAAGAGGTAAAGAATATTTAACATTTGCGGATGTCACCACTGCGTGACTCCTTAACCCTAACAGTCCTCAATCCTTCACCTGTTGGAGGACTGAGGACTGTTAGGGTTAAGGTTATCTCTGATGAATGTTGCAGAGCACGGAAGAGTGACATCATTTTTAACCCGTAAGTGTAGTCTGATGAATTACTTATGCGCGTAATGGTTCATCACGTGCTGGTTCTCGTGCTAATGCCTTTTACACACATCATTGCGCATGTGATGTATTCACTTTGATACTCTACTGTTTCAGCCAGGAAAAACACGCTTCCGTTGGTCAAATGTCCCACTTACATGTAGCGGTATGTATACTGAAGTGCTGTCGGTCCGTGGTGCAAAGGATACAACGGCTTGTCAATTTTGTCGCAGAGCGACTTACAATCTACGCGAGCAGATGAGGCGGGCTGACGGTACTACGAGATTAAATACGCAAGACTAGTACTGGCAGTAGACAACACCACCGTCGTGGGTTACAGATAAGGCTGAATCAGCCCATTTAATTCTTCATCTGTGCCTTGCAAATACACTCGTTTTTCTTATGATGCTTACTCTCCCCGTCCATTCTCCATCTCCCCCAAAAACATTCCGTTTTCAGAACATCTCCCCACTTGTTTATTCGATAGAACCCACAATCAATATTATTTTCCACTGCTCTTTAATGCGCACAGTCGCATCACGTGCAGCTTGGCCGCACGCGCCCAAAGAAGACGTCTTATTTACGTAGTTCCCAAGTGCATACATTTCTTTTACATATGCACATCTAAATCTGTTCACAGTTATAAATTCTAATTAAGCATTCTAAACGGTTTAGATCATGACTTTCAATCCACTACAATACGTTTACCATGAACACAATATCTGACCTACGCAGGAGAGCGTGACACAACTACAGTGATGGCGCGAACTACATGTACAGAGGATCAGCCATGAGGGTACACACTGAGTCCTTTCTCTAAACTCCAATCCCTATTTACTCACTTTTCCTGTAGATATTGATCAGTCCATTTCTGCAGGGCCGGCGCATCTGTCATGGATTGGCGAAAGACCACCGGTTTCCTCGTGCTCACATGGTTCTGGTAGAACTCGACGGGATGGAGGAACACGTTGTACTCGGGGACCGGGCCATCTGATTTCCTCTGATATCCTGCCAAATAAAAACCGTAGGAGATTAAACACTGGGACGATTCACAATACAGTTGAACAGTTGATTGGTTAGCTGCAAGAGGGTCCAATACACCCCTCTAAATATCCTTATCCCCGCCCCTTCCTTTATCCTTCTGAATCAAGGTTTTACAATTGTACGTATACATGTAGTTCTGTAGCAAGGAGAAGTTTCGAAAATTTTTCAGGAGATTGTTACTGGCACAAAATGTCTAATCGACAAGGACAATCATTTTTTTTCAGGTTTTCGGATCTGTTTGATAGCATGGTGTCTCACCGAATGGTCTGAGATGACCAGTGGGCACGGCGGAGCCAGGGCGGGGCTTAGGAATTTGGGGCGGGAATTCAATCGCCCGTTGGTCTTTGGGGAAGGTGACATCCGAGATGGCATCCTGAAGTGAAACTAGAAGCAGCAGCAGCAGAACTAAGGCATCTGGAGATCTCAAATCCATTTGTATTTTTGTTCTGTAAGATACAAAACGCAAAATAATTATTACGAAATAGAAATGTGGGCGAGGGTGCACAGGGTGAGGCCATTTCAGCTGGAAATTTCAGCTGCTTTACAAAAATTTATTGAAGAAAACAGTATCCATTAATGTAGCTCTAATGTCCTTTTTGTTTTCTTGTTTTGCCTGAAGAAAGGTCAGTCTCTTGGCCTGGTAAAAAAAAAATTACAGTGACACCAGGAAAGATGTTGACTCCCATTTTGTTTACAGCGATAGGTTCCTAATTTTTCCCTGTAAAGTGATCAACCATCAGAAAGCAGTAACATGTACTAAAAAGCCAATTTAGCAGGGACGCTAGAACATTTCAGGCCAGTCTCATAAGATTTTGTGCCCTGGGTGTCACATGATGTCCGTGTACAGAACTCTGTCCAAGTTGATAATGATGTACATATAAGGAAGTTTTCTTGGTGTTTTATTTTTCATTTAAACCTACAGACTTTGCAGAGTATAAATGACCAAAATAAAACAGTTTTCGTTTTGAAAAGTTGGGATGCAGGTGATTGGCTTTAAAATGTACAGAGATGATGTGATGTCACCAGTGCCCAACAACAGAGGTCTGTACCCCCTGTGTTCCCCTCTATGGATTCGAAACTTGAATTCTCAACCAACTTCACTACCAGGGGTGTAGTACACATGTACCCACCTGTACAGCTGTATACAGTTGCTATGCTGGTACAAAAGTAACGGCACTCCGCCACCAGTTAACTTTATGACAGTCAACTACATATATACCTGTACATGTTGTGCACAACCAGTCAGTCTGCATGATCGCTCATTCTCTACCAATTACATGTACCATGTCTAGAGTATTACACAATCTTGCTGTGTCAAGAATTTCACCTTTTAAAATTCAATTTTCTTTCCACAATTCACGGTTAGGTAAAATAGTTTCAAAAACGGGAAAGGGAAGTGAAGTCAGAGATTTCATACAGGATCGACTGAACGTGCAACACGATTATGCAATCATGTTGACCAATCACGCCCAACATTTTAGGTAGGCCTACCCCACCTTCACAAAAAAACCCACTCTAAGATGATACAAACTGACAAAATCAACTGAAAATAGGGAAAATATGCACCCTCAGAATGTGCATTTACAGAATTGCACATAAATATATAAAAATGTAATTAAAACTGAACTCACCTTTTGTACATGTACATGTAGGTTGGCCTAGTTGCTTTTTAATTTGATTTATTTAAGCTACTGAATGATTAAACTGAAACATGTACATGTAGGAATGAGTGAAATCTTACCTTTGGAAGTTCCGATGATGAAGTTACACCCTGTTGTCAATGATGACTTTAACCTCGAAACAATAAAAGCTACAATTAAATATTAACATTAGTTGAAGTTGAACTGTAGGCTGTGTAAACTTCTGAAGTCAGCCCCAACCAACAGCCTGGCAGTCTGGTCATGCTAGTCTGAGGAAGGTGATGCCCACATGTACATGTGTGTACCGGTCCACTCAGACTGTCAGGGGTGAAACTACATTAAGAGTCAAAAAAACACGTAGGCTATCGTTACCGTGTGCAATCTTTTCTTTCGCATCCACAAAACCGGATCTCCATAATTTCAGATCGATAGTGTATATTTTACCACTGTAAAAGGCACACGTGTCGTTATCCAAAATCAGAGCTCAGTGAACGAATGAACATCTGTCATGTTAACAAAGTCCACTATACACTGTATCGATCGTGGGCATCAACAAGTGTTTATCAAAGCAGCTCCGATTAGGGACAGAACCTAGACGCCCTGCGTGCAGGCTTATCTCCGAGAGTAGGGTACCCGTCTAGTTTTGAAAGAGGGGGCGTCGGCAAAGCCTGACAAAAAGTTGCAGGGGGGGGTGATCTGTTAAAGCGGCTGTGTTGGATTGCAACAAAATGGAAACATGTTTTTGAGAATATTTTTTAAAACGAATCGAGGGTCCAGGAATTACGAAATTTGTACGCAGCATAACCTCAGGACAAGAAAAAA